TTTAATGGAGGGCCGTTGAACGCTGCCTCCATCGTGGACGTAGGAAATTTTTAATTGCCGTTTTCAAATCTCATATCTAATTTCAAAACGTCGCTAAATATTGCTCTAAAAGGTTGATTTTTGCATAAATTATTACAAATTTGTACATTTTATCAGCGCACGTTTTCATAATTTTCTTTCGGTTCAGATAGAGCCCTTCTGGAGCTAACAAACTTTAATTCCAAATTCCAAATTTAGAACGGACAGTTTAAAAGGGTTTGCCAAAATTTCCTGACTACTCATACAGCTGAAGGAGTGCTCGCGAAATTTATGACGTCATTAAATTCTGCTCAACTCGTGATTTTCGCCTTTTTCAAGAATCCGAAATGTGAGGAAAATAAAATCCTTTTTCCAGTGATCGCATCCTCTTCTTAAGTCATTGTTTGTCTGACCACTTTTGTTTTGTAAGACTCACGAACCACTTACGTGCGTGTGCGAGGGTGCACAACGGTGAGAAATTTCCAGTATCTTGCTTTGATCCGCAGGGGTGGAAACACGTGCTGATATATAAAATGTTATGCAGGGATTTGGAAAGCAGAAGCTAGCAAGTACTCCATACAAGACCTTAAACTGCTCATCGACAAGAGCGCGCACCAGTCGACGCCCCATAGCTGACTTCAGCCGGAGGGAACAAGAAACGTCCTTAAGCAGAATTCATTGAGAAAAACATTCTGAGCAGTTAAAATATTTCCTTTGTGTGGCATAATTTAACGACGCTTACCCAAGATCTTTAATGGATCTTTAGCTTCGCACTCTAATATAATTAAAGTTTCAGATAAGAAAAATCTTAGAATATTTGATTTGCTTTGGCATCTCTGTTAAATACTGTCGTTGTCTGCTGCAAACAAGTAAAATTACTTTTATTTTTATACTGGAACCAGCTTCCTTATATATTATGTCTTCAGATTTCGTTCGACGATTCTCAATGACCAATAGAATTTCTAAATAAACGCCTATATAGAGCTTGAGTTGATAATACTCTTCCGGTGCGGGTTCTGAATTAGGCACTGGCATTGATTAGAAACAGCAAACATGTTTATTGATATTCGTCCAAAATTTAGAACGATCTCTCAACTGGAAGTTTTGTTTTCAGTCCAAAGAGCTGGGTATAATTAGACGTAGATTTGATGAAGGATAATCATAACATTTAAGAAAGGGCATTTTAAAACTCGACTACCATCTGGTGTCTTTTAGTAATGAAGATTTCCCTTCAAGTCTAAATAGATATATGCGGTTTAAAGCGGATGTGACTGCCATTCGTGCCAAAAAACCACTCAGCTTTAAAAACTTCATATCCCAAGTCCGACTAACGATCTGATTTATCTGACCTGTTCATCCCCATTCCCCTCCAGGGTAGTAAAACGCAGTGTCCCGAGCGATGTTATTTTAAAAACTGGAAAAAACGTTGAAAAGCGTATTGCGGAACACGCAAATTAAGTTTTATTAAGAGCATGTATTGGCGTACCCAATATTCTTCCGTTTACCTGAACATTTACAAGTTAATTAAATCGCACGATTGCCCAGCCGATCCTTCCTCAACCTCACCTCCGGTATCTGTCGTACATGGAAGCGTGTGTGAGACTTACTGGACAAGACATTTACTGAAGTAAGTGTACAAACCACAGGCTCTAACCGACAAAAGAGGAATGCCACACTGACAAGGCAACCGCAACTAGATGGGTCTGCTAAAACACGGTGGCTTTTTAAACAGTTGAGTCAATTTACCGTTTGAAAATCGGGAAAGCAGTCATGTCTTTTATTGGGAAGCATTTACGTTCTGCCGCGATGACCGTGTAAGGCCTCAGGTGAGACGTTGACCGCAGAATGCGAAAGAACAAAGCGGGATACCGAAACCCGGACTGCAGACGCATCTCACCTAGTTCTGATGCCCTTCCGACAAATAAAGGGTCAAACACTGGAATAGCGAGGATCGCGGTACCGATAAAGAAGAAATGGCCACCAAAAGGACATAATCCCAAACTGCCTACGCACACATACTCGAAGAATAAAGGAAACAGCGGCCACAGCAAACACTGTAGAGAAGAAGAAGCATCGTTAGCTGGGACAATACGTTTATTCGCCGGACGTTTCGACATCCGTTGCGGATTCATCATCAGAGACATGAGTAGGAAACTGTAGCAGATGCGGGACCCGTTTTTCCTACTGCGGGATGCTAAGTAGAATCAAATGAAATATTTCCCTTACAGTTATCGCCAAAGACCACATAACTTTCATAAATTTGTATAAGTTTGATCATTACTCGAATACGAGTGTGAAT